TTCCCCATTTATAAGCACGTGTTATTGCCAAATACACCCAGGCGTCTCCCCTATTTCCAGAAAGCTGCCCACACCAATTCTTCGGCTCCGCTAGGAACAACAAGCGAGGATCTGTTTCCGCGGGTGCCCTGCGCGGACGCTGGGCGAAGCGGGGTGGGGGGCAGACCTCAGCAGCAGTTTCTAGCACTTCCCTTCTGGCAGATCCCCCGCGATGGGGCTCAGGGGGGCCCAACCCTATCTTGTACAGCTGGGACTGTATTGCCAAAAGGAAATAGACCGATTGCGCGCCGCCTTGTTCAGCCAAGCCGTCCAGGGGAAAGAGCGCGGCTTTCCGCGTGCAGTCGGGGGTCTTGAACGCGCAGCCTTATGGGCTGTGTCTATGCCCCGTCAGAACTGCCCGGGCGCGTTTACACTGCGGTTCACAGGCATACCCCTCACTGCGCTCGGTGTAAACGCGCACCTAGCAAGCGCACGGAGGCGCACACAAGGCAGAATTCTGCCCTGAGTCCGGTTTCCGATTTGGCATCGAATACAACCGAGTTCTGGCACAGCCTGCCGTCTAAACGCGACCGAGTTAACCGAAAGCAAAAACCTGACTCCTCTGCGCGGTTTTTTGTTTGTTTTGCTTTGCGTGGCCGGAGAGGCGCGCAGAAAGAAAACAAAGAGACCTGTTTGCCACGCGTATTTCTTCTGCAGAGCCGAACACTTTCCTAGCAGAGGCCGTGGCTCCGTTTCTTTTTCCAAATGCAGATGCTTTGGATCGGCAAACGGGATTCACTCCGGATTCTCTGCTGGCTCAAACTCGGACACATTTTAGAACGATTCTCCTCCCGTTTCCTTTCGATTTAATAAAACCAGCCCCTGAATGAACGCGCAACGTTGCGCGAGCTAGTTACTTATTTGTTGGGGCTTTAAACGAAAGGTGCCAGGACTGAAAATTGCACGGACAATTATATATAAATAAAATCACAATTTCCACAAGAGCCTCTCCATATAGTTATAAAATAGCACGAACAATTGTCCACTCAATTTTTAATTGCCTCTGCAATTATTGCACGGACAACTGTCCGTTCCATTTTTAATTGTCCTTGCAATTATTGCACGGACAATTGTTCGTTCCATTTTTAATTGTCCCTTTGCACGGAAAAATTGTTCGTTCCATTTTTCATTGTTCCTGCATTTATTGCACGGACAATCGTCCGTTCCATTTTTAATTGTCCGTGCAATAAATGCACGGACACTTGTCCGTTCACTTTGTAATTGTCAGTGCAATTCTATCTCTACATGGAGAGGCTTCTGTGGGAACCATAACAATTAAAAACAATAAAAATGCGATATGACGTTTTCCTATCGACAAGAAGTGAACTACGCTGTTTATAAAACGCCATGTCTGTCCTCTCGAGCCATCGCTGTGGCTGTTGACAGCTGATCCTCCAGAAAGATGTATAGAGGTTAGTTTCTTGGGACTGAAATGGTTGTATGTAGGGGGGCGCGGGTCCGCTGGCGTTAAACAAACTGATCGCAGAGAAATTACTTTTTAAACTCTAACCTGGAAGGGTGCTGGAAGCCCGGTGTCATTTTTACATCTCGGCTCCACAGACGCGTGTCTTTTAGGACAGGACATACTAGGGGAAATCCCCAGAGCCGAGCTGTGTAACATGCCTGTGGGATGCGGATAGGGTACTGGGGGTCTCTCTCGTCTTTCCCTTCCCCTTTCTATTTGCCCAGCAAACGTCGAGGGGGCCAAAACGGAGCAAACGCGCCCTTGTCTTGGCTGGGAAAGAGGGAGGTTTCAATGAGATTTTTTTCCCCTTGAGCAGCACGCTGGAGACGAGCACCAGCTCTTAAAAACCATTTTCTTGACAAGCCGCGGCGCCTTTTGCCACGGAAATTAAGTTTCCGTCGCCCACGGGTGGAGTAGAGGCCCGCGTGGGGTTGGAAAGCCTAGTCCTAGACAGTCCAAACCAGCCTTGCAAAGAAAAGCGATCCAAGCCCATGAGATTTTTTTCCCCTTGAGCAGCACGCTGGAGACGAGCACCAGCTCTTAAAAACCATTTTCTTGACAAGCCGCGGCGCCTTTTGCCACGGAAATTAAGTTTCCGTCGCCCACGGGTGGAGTAGAGGCCCGCGTGGGGTTGGAAAGCCTAGTCCTAGACAGTCCAAACCAGCCTTGCAAAGAAAAGCGATCCAAGCCCCGGCCCCTTCCCCGTCTCCACCGCAGGTGGAAATAGCCACTCCGCTGCGAAATAA